CTGTAATGCTCCACTTAAGACAATCTGGGAATGCTGCCGTGGTACAATGGTTACCAATCTGAAGGTCGCAGGTTTGTGCTTCAGTCGAAACAATGGGACTAGTTTCTTAATCCCTTACGCCCCTGCCCACCCAGTATACATTCTTAAATGCATATACCACAGTTGATAGCACGTCTTCCAAGACATCTGACCCGCTTGGAAGAGGCCATCGACACTCTAAAAAGGGGTTCTCTAGAGCTCCAACTTGTGGAGGCCCCTCTTCCAGTAGTCACGTGTCCACATGTAACATGGTGGTGAGGTGTTAAATATCTCGCCTGGTATACAGGAGGTCTTGGGTTCGATCCCGACTCCGACGCCTGTATATTTGGAGTTTGCATGTTCTCCCCGTGGTCGTGGGGATTTTCCTCCGGGTCCTCTGGTTTTTATTCCTTCCACATTTAGAAACATGCGTTTCGGGTATTTGGCAGCTATACATTTCCACATGATTAGCCACTTTATTGAGCTATCATTTGTGGCCAGGTAGCGTCTGGAAAAAGAGCTATATAGCTCATTGAGCCTTGCCTAGTAAAAATAGTTTAGTTTTACTTGTTATAATCTCAATACAATGCTGAGCCAAATGCATGTTTTAATATATACAAACAGATCCATAGGCTGTTGTGATAGTGCATTTGTAAATGAAAAAAAAATATAATGCAATAGATTCCATTCGATTTAACAAAGCACACGTCATAGCTTATCCACATACATGTGCACTATTTGAGAATACTGTACTGCACTGTTAGCCAGTTTTGGGTGCTTTTAAGGGACACACAATGACCACTTTAACAGAATCACTGATGAATAGACTTGAGTTGCTGAAAAACGTCTCTGCGTGTGAATGAGCGCTACTTTTTCTTTGTTTGTGCCCAGTGAACTCTCCATTGACCTGTGGCATTGCTTAACGGTTGGGTAGAAGGCCGCTAAATTAAACCTCCACCATAAGGATCTCATACCGCATGTTTGCTGAGCATGCCGTGGTTTATGCTATACGGAAACATTTTTTTGCCTCTGGTGTTGGTGGAATAATCGATCAATTAACGATCAATTAACGGTATTGTTGTGGCTCGTAGACGAACATGTTGCCTGTAAGCGTTCAGTCATGGCATTATTGCCAGGAAATGGATCTGTGCAACACTCTAAGTTAATTCCTTTGTGTGATAGTATTGGTGCAGTGCTGGTGTAAGATATTACAGTAGAAAACTCCAGACAGACTTTTCTTTTGCATTGTTGGGCCATCATGATTCTAACTTGTATCTGCTTACTTTGGTTACACGCAAATGTTGGTATTAATGCTATTCGACAGTTTACATGTAACTCGGTTAACTCGAACACCATGCTTGCAAAGTTTGCTGACAAGTTTAAAACATAATACTGCAGATTAGCCTGCCACATCTTCATGAGATTTTTGCAGTTATGTAGAGATGGTAATGAGAGATGTCCCAACGGGTAAGTAGACGTTTTTGTATGCACTTTGAATGATTTGGTTTTTTTTTACGTATTGTGCTTTATGTGCATAGGACACTGTCATATTTTTTGAGGAGAAAATAATAATGACTATACCAGTTTTTATATAATTAAATTGTTACCTCATTTACTGTCCTGGAGAGAATGTTTAAACTAACTTGGTCTATAACTCTATATGTTTCCCCATAAAAGGAAGCCACAATACAAGGTCATATAGTTACAAAAAAATAAAATTTTGCTTTAGGCTATGGTTAATATCCTTTCACAGCTATACGATTGACCATATGTAAGCAATTTTTGAGCTTTATACGTAATTTTCATAAGACAAACTGCGATACGATTATAGTCTTCATTGGCCTGATGCAATCCATTCTAGTTGTTGGTAACAGTGATTGTGAAGATAAGTCTTTGAAAAATGGCCTAATGTGGTAGGTTTTTTGTTGTTGCAATTTCGTTTCATTTATGGCTTTTGCAATGGACATTTTCTGTAATGTGGAATAAGCCTCCAGACAAATTAAGAGCATCATTTAAATCAATTTGCAAAGTTCCAGGAAAAATAGAAAATAGTTTCTCAGACCAAGATAAATCAGTTGAAATCTTAATGACCAAGCCCATAATCTATCGTTGTCTTTTTAAGCATCACACTTTATTGCATTGCATGCATATATGCTATGTAATTAATGGTCATGTTAGGCCACAGTTTCAACAGAAATGGGAGTTTGGAATTAAATTTCAGCAGTGAGCAGTTGATATTTCAACATGTATTAAATATACATGAAAACCTCTGTTGGACATCAGCACAGTTTAGTACTGTTGAACATACACACTCTTGTTACCCGGTCAGAGACTGACCAAGTAATATATGCAATGCAATTTACCGCAGTACACATTGAAGTCTAAAATGTATTCATAAATCTATTTGTACAATTGTAACACAACTAATTGTTATCTTTCGAGCATACATTGTATGTGTTTTATATGTTTGTGAGTACTGTGCATTCAGAAGTTTCTGTACATTTTCATGTATAACATGGTTTTGACTCAGGTTATGCAGTAGTGTATAGCTTACCAAAATTGCCTGTGGATGTCGGCCCATGAATGCATGTTGCAAGCTGTCATTCATATTGCCTTCTTTATTTTAACCAATGCTTTTGGGATTCAATTTTGCAGTAATTTTATGTGCGGGAGATATGTTGCCAAAACTTTATGAGCTCCTGCTAACCATCTCAGTGGAGGTAACAAGTTGTGGGAATTAGTAGATGCACACTTAAGGCCTGCATTTATTTGGTTATATAATTTTTTCATCATTTGTCACAAAAAATATATAGCAAAAATACAGTATGAACTGAAATTGATACAGTTTGATGCCTGTTATCTGTGTCTCTTGCAAAATAATTGACTGGCTGAATGTATGTGCAGCTAATCATTGGCCAGCATTAGATTTGCTTTCACGGGGTTTACTGCTCAGTAAAAGTGACTAGGCATTATTATTTGTCGCCATAGCCATTATTAAATGTTACGGTGCATTTTTTTAAATAAAACCAAACTGCGAATAATACATTATCCAAAAAGCCGGAAGCAGATTGCATTTGTTCGAGAAGGGAAAAGAAAGCATAAAATACCACAAATGTAATTCCACGTAGCTTCTTTCCTGCTCGTAGAAATGATTTGGTGTTGCTGTTATAGATGTTGCTACCGCTGGAACATAATACTTTCGCAAACGTCTGCTATCGCGGGTTGGTTGCTCGCAATGGTGCGGCTGATTTAAACCGTCCTTGACAGCCGTTTGGCGAAAACTTTTTTGTTGCATAAAGAACGGAGGAAATTTGTCAATGAGCGCATGCGAGCGTGGACTGCTCTGCCTAAGCGTGAGCGCTCTGCTTTACAGGGAAACCCAGCAGCAGCAGCAGCCCTGTTTTGAAGGGCTTTTGAGGATTTATTTTCTAAGTTACCTCATCGCCAGACGGTAAACTGGGCATGAAGACAGAAGCTGGCTTTTTGTTTGTCAGGAGGCAAAGATCCAGGCGTTACCTTATATGGCAAAGTAGGGTTTATCCTGTAGGTTTTACTTCTCTGTAGATCAGGTATATTTATAGTTTATGTATTATTCATGGTATATGTAAGGGCGACCTCATTGAAATGCAGTTTGGTTAAATTTATTTACTTGGTATTCTTTAGTGGAAAAAGATGTCACAATTCCAAGCGTTATTGCTGTTAACTGTATAACCCGAATTTATAATGAGTAAAGTTTACATATATACTTGACCTTTCAATACAACTCTGCTCGTGTTAATTGGGAACTTTCCAGTATCTTACATAGCTCAATGGCGATGTAGTACTCCATGTTAATGTATATGTGAGTTACTTATTTGCTTATTTTTCATGTGCCATAGTTTAATAATTTAATTTGCGCTAGTTTCAGTCTAAACATATAACATTCTATTTAATCCGCTTGCTGAGCTGCTCCTTCAAACACTATTTTAATAAAACAACATCATTGGATCGTTAGCATATTCCAAAGTCGTGAACTTGTAATGTCGTTACAAATCACTACTAGTTAATGTCAGTCGTGGTAGAAGACTAGTCTTGATACCAAAATGTATTATAGAATGCATTCACGTCATGTGAGAGGCTTTAAGTGGATTAGAATCAATTGCAAGGCTGAATGTGTGCAGGAATGCGTGGAATGTTACAGTGAAAGAGCCCTCCTCCCTTCTCGACGTCTGGCTAGACACTGCTGCGAAGCATCGAGGCAAACATGATGTAATGCGTGCTACCACACTGTAGAAAAGTGATCTGTATTTGCGCCCCATGAGCTGATTTTAACAGTGACTTACAATTTTTTTTATTTTATATATTTTTTTTTTGCCAAGTTCAGGTCGGTGCGAGAATGTTACTTTGAAAACCTCTGATGGTACTGAAATGGCATGATAGCAATGTAAACGTGTACTTTCAAAAGAAAAGTAATGTCACCTGTCGTTATGGTAACATTTGTTCTGAAAACTTTTATTATATTATTGTTCACTTTCACAAAATGTATTCCTGATTGGCAGGCCGGCTGGCTGTAAGTCTGGCCTCGTAGCTGACAATTTGTATAGGCGAGCTATGATATGCTTTCGGAGGAAAATAAACAGTGGCAGAGTAATTTGATTATGCAGTGATACCCCAATTTACATCTCCCCCCTTTTTACGAAGTTTCGTAAATACCTCCTCACTTGATTAATACCACGACCTGATTTGTGTCGCCTCATCTCACACTTATGTCGCTGGCAGCATCCGTTCTTTTTCGTGTCCATCGTCTCGGCCTTCACCTCCACTTACCCTGTAAATTGCTTTGATTTATGTTGTTTCAATATTCATCGCACCTTTCAGGAAGCATCCCCGACGTAAACCGGTGTATTACTTATTATTATGAATTGATGCTGAGAGTACATCCTGTAAATGTGTTTATGGCTATATGACTCAATGTTGCTCTGGTTTCTCCTCTGTAAATGCAGGCTGAAGCTGATGTGGCCTCCCTCAACAGACGCATCCAGCTCGTAGAGGAGGAGCTGGACAGGGCTCAGGAGCGTTTGGCCACAGCCCTGCAGAAGCTTGAGGAGGCCACCAAGGCTGCGGATGAGAGTGAGAGGTAATGTCAATGCACGTGGTGGAAACTCCACGATATGGAACGTACACCTATTTGTCAGTGCTTTCGTACCTTTAGAATAGGAGTGGCCTATGACGTCATAGTGAGATATTCAGAATGCTATGAATTACTAATGGTAATCAATATACCCATAGTGATCTGTCTGGAAAAAAAACAAGGCAAGCTATTTGTATGTCACAGTGTAGAATTTCGAATAAAAATATGAGCCGTAACTTTATGTTGAGTGGCATGCCAAACTAAATATTGCGAAGCCATATTTTGGTAGTACAAATACGTGCTGCTGCAAGCTATTTCTTTAATCATTCTTTCTGGTTAATAGTATTTCAGTTGGCATGCCATCTAATTAAGTTTGGCGACTGCAATTTTGTTTCATATAATTATAATTGAATCTTGCTCAAATGTGATATACTTTTGTGATGAAAAGTTACGTGTGTGGTTTACAGAAAACGCAAACTTAAATTGGGTTCCAAACATTGTGCACGTCAGTGGATAAAGTGGATTTTCTCAATTCGGTTGCAGACCACAGTGAAGGCCACACTTGCTCGTGAATAGTCTCCTCTCTCTGCCGTTACATATATTTTTATATTGGCTACGTGATAGCACCTAAACACCAGCGGTTACGCACGTGTATCCCACTGAGTTGAATTTGATGTCCTTCACACGATACAATTGAATATACTTTATCCACAGAGGCATGAAAGTTATTGAGAACCGGGCCCTCAAGGATGAAGAAAAGATGGAGTTGCAGGAGATCCAGCTGAAAGAGGCCAAGCACATCGCTGAAGAGGCTGATCGCAAGTATGAAGAGGTGAGCTTTGCGGTTTTTAACTCAGTGTCCCATTTATTTCTCAGGATATCATTTGCTCTTTTACAACGCTGTCCCCTGGGTTATGCCTGGTTATGGAAAGAGTTTGCCAAGTGTGCCGTAGTTCCACGAAGCAATTCAAACTTATTGCGGAGTTATGGCAGTCTCTGAACCTGCCCATCTTGAGTGATTCCTGGCCAAAACCAACATCACTGGTGTAATATGTGAACCGGTCCTTGGACCTAGGCTGCTCCCCTGCTTTCTAACCCACACTGACAAGCGAGGTGAAGTTTAGTCAAACCATTCCTGCAAGGGACATGGGTTAGGGAAGCCAGCAGTGGATTAACAAAGGGATTTAAATAATAGTTAATCAAAAACGATAGCATTCTCTGAGTATTCGTATTGTGTCTACAACATTAAGTCCCGCACCTCCGATTAGCATGATTGGCTACGTACAGTGCGAAATAAGTTCAACATACGTACATACACATTCTAATTGTGCCAACACAACTTTGTGAAATATAGCTTGAACCGTTTTATTTGTGCATTATAGTTACAATTATAAATAAGTAGATCTGTCTGTCATCCATTGATTACCTATTCTTTCAGTGTAGGATGATATTGGCAATGTAGTACAGGGCTTAGACGAGTTACGTGTGTGTATGTGCGCGCACGTGCCGCAGGTGGCCCGTAAGTTGGTCATCATTGAGGGGGAGCTGGAGAGGACAGAAGAGCGTGCAGAGGTGGGAGAAACGTGAGTCTCCCGCAATCTAAATTTCACACTTTCATGGAAAATAAAAATGTATTTTTTTTTACCAATTACATGTACACCAATGGACAATACACAGCGTATATAGACAATTACACACGTATATGTCAAGCGAGGTGGCACCATGGATGGTTAGGGCACTTTATTTACAAGCTGAAGGTTGGAAATTCAAATCCCAATCGTGGTTTGACTTTGCTTTTCACCGGTTGGGGTCAGTAAAGTAAATCATCAATGATCATCCTTTGTAACCAACTTCTTCCAGCCATGGCATGGAGAACGTCCACTACTGGCTTTGGACCTTTAACAGTCATAAGTGCTGCCCCATTGCTCATTTGAGCTGGGAGACACATTGATTTTATATATATATGGATATATTTGTAAATGTGTATAATCTAATGTGTTGTTTTTTTTTTATATGTACATACAGTTCACGTATGCAGTCAATTTCGTGTTGTATCGTAGCTGTTTGATAATTGTGTTCTGCTTATATTTTATAAAAAACAAAAACCTGATGCATTTATTAAGAAGTAATTATTATTGGTTCTCAATGTCATTTGCAGCTAGCTGTTCGTTCAAATTATGTTGCAGTCTTGTATAAGTCCTGTAGTATAACACACCAGTCACAGAGTAACGTATCCATATATTGATAGATAGCATCAAATCTTCCATCACTTTTCCGAGTTTAAAAACTGCTGGCAACAGTTCACATTGCCTTGAAATGTCATGTTAGTGTTGTCTCTTGTGTGCTTTTAATAGAGCTGCTAATTGTAAGACATTTTTAAATGTGCCTAACGCTTTTGTGTTAGTGTTGCTTGCATGAAGGCTGGCTGTTAAAGTTCACTGTGTCTTTATATTTTGGCATGCAGTTGTTAATAGCATAATTTGGTTTTGCATTGTATCAAATCCGTGTACGTTTGCAGTGCTTTAGGAAGGTGAACAGGTTTAGCTGACTACTTGCTATTGTCTCGATAAGATTTAAAACATACAATTAGTACTATTAATAATGTTAGCTGCCCTTTGATTGCTAGTCCTTGCTGAATATGAAGCAAATTTTTTTGATATGAATGCCATTTCAAATCGTGGTCTGTACTTATATAAATATGTAAAACATCAACTGAGCAACAATAAAAAAACATGTTAAACTTACTGATTGTTAAAGTCACTTAACGCTAAACCTTCATCTTGAGATGGCCCCGTTATAAAAACATCTATTTCAAAGCATGCATTTTGATATTTAAAATTCAACCGTTTATTGGTGAAGTATTTTTGGCTCATTCTTAAAACAATCCCAACGTGTTTTTTGGAGGTTTTCTTTCCATTCAGCAATGACTACCAATGTTGGGCAGCACACATTATCCACAATCCCTCATTAGCTGTGGTCACTCGAATGACTGTTTAATGAACCAATAACAAAAACCTTTAATTTACTCTTCATACCATTTCATGCACCACAAACCAGGGGATGAAGCATATTTCTGCATAAGTATATGCTTGCGCTTAAACCCAGTGTGAAACCTTTAATAATTAACATTTTGTTCATATTGGGAGCAATATCATCAATGTATACACAGGAATAAATGGATATTAATTGTTGCTTTGATTGGTAGGCCTTTTTCAACTCCAAAGGCTGCATGCAATCTAAGGAAAGCCTGTCGGCTAAATTATGGATTCATTTGGAATGTTGTGTCTATATCAGTACCATTTCATTAACTATATACACTTAGATTAATCAATAAAACATCAACTGAGCAACATAAACAAAAATCCACGTATCAAACTAAAGCCATGATACGATATACTCCCAAAAGGAACTTAGCTTCCTTGGTAGACTTGATATATTCTGCATTTAGTGGCTTTTTCTTGACCTGTGGAGCAAATTCTGTCGTTCAGTGCAGCCAGTCACGCATTGCTGCTGCCTGTATATAATCGCTTGTGTGCATGGTTTGATCGCGGGTGTGTGCACTAACCCTGCTGGCATCGGCGGCTTGTGTGCCAACTAACAGCCGAGTTCGGCAGCTGGAAGAAGAGCTGCGAGTCATGGACCAAAACATGAAATCTCTGCTGGTTGCAGAGGAGCAGGTACTCACTGGCGCATGTGCAATCTCTTTGATGCTCAACGTGATTTAATCTCCACTTTATAAAGTGCAAATTGAGCCAGTAATATGTTTTTACTTTCTTAAGAGTCAAAGTGTCCCCCATGCTCAGGGTTGGCATGCAATTCAATTTGTGGCCTTGATCCAACATTGGAAATGTTGCATTACTGGTGAGGACCATTCCCTCCACAGATTGACAACTGACAATATGCAACAAATTAGTAATCACTTTACGTATCCTGGATGTATGATTTACTAAATATTTCCCTGACTGGGTTTTGAACTAATATTCTTCTGACGGTGGATTAAGCCCCGACCGGTAGTACCATCCAGATGGACCACACATTAGTAGCATTTCATGAAACTTATCACATTGCAAGTTGGCAATTTTTGCACTTTAAGGCGGATTTTATTTCAATGCTTATCACTACCTATGCCACCACGCTTGGTCAAAGCTCCTGCGTTGCTCTCTTTCGTTGCTTGCATTTTCCTCAGGCTTTTCCTTCTTATTTTTGTTTATCTCTGAATTATTTATCTTGTCAGATCCAAACGCTTGCTCATCACCAGCGTGAGCACTTAGGCAAGGCATTAGACGTGCATTTTAATACACAGAATCAGATACAGTATTTATACAGGCAGCTTTTAGATACAAATTGTTGGGAATTATTACATAAAAAATACTAGTTGCTTGTGTGAAAAACCTATTACTTTTTCTAAAAGGAAATTTCTATTGTAATTATTGTGACCATTAAAAATGGAAAATGGTCCCGTTTTGACTTCAAATTGTGAATATTACTCAATGTAGTTTTAGTTTTTGGAAGATGAGTTCAAAAGTAATGTCCAAAACCAGGACCATGAAATGTGCTCTTCAAAAATGTAGGTTTATTTTCTTATTCCGGGTTTTATTTTGTTGTATTTCTTTATTTCCCTTGTTTTTCCTTTCCCCTACCTTATCATTCCTTCTTCCACAATCTCTGCTGTTGCCCGGTTGTGGGTAAATACACAGTAAATGTGCCGAGCTTGAGGAAGAGCTGAAAACGGTGTCCAACAATCTGAAGTCTCTGGAGGCTCAGGCCGAGAAGGTAGGGTGGTTGTTTAGGCAATGGTTGACTTGATGCTCTCTGGAACTCACATGAAAATGGTATGTGGCAGTTATATACCTGTGTGTGTGTGTCTGCACATGCCACCAATGGTGGAGAGTGGTAGTGCAGTGGCTAGCATGCTGCGCTATGAACCTGGGTACTCAAGTTCGATTCCTGCTCATGGCCAACACTGGTGACGAATAACTGAACCAGTCATGGGCCTCCCCTAGGTTGACTCAGCCTCAAATGAGTACCTGGTGCGGTGTGTAAACATCTCCACTAGGGAGATGACGGTGGCCGGGCGTGGTGCTGGCCACCCACCACCTCTTGTGCCGTGCTGGTCATCATCGGTGCTCGGAAACAGCACTTGCCCCAAGAGTCTGAGATGGATATTCGTACAACCACAGGATATTTTTTTTTATTGTTGTTTCTAACCCATTGTTTAAAAAAAAGTATTGTTGTAGGTGTTGTATGTGAAATTAAGACGTTGCTTTAAAATAATGATAAATATCACCTATAGAAGTTTAAAGGTACAATTTATTATTCTTAGTTATATTCAATGGTTTAACTTCAGGAGAATACTAAACAATGCTCAGATTGCAAAGCAAATCTGTGCATTCTGTATTTTGAATGAACACTGATTATGTACTTTTTGCACAATTTCAGTTTTATAGCTCCTATTTATTTGGCCACATTATTTTGGAATACAATAAAATAGATGTGAGAATGTTGGGTTACTTTTTGAACGAAGGGACAACCCAATGAAAGCACGTGTATATTTGACGTATGGCTACCGAGAAAATTTAACTTTGAAGATCAAGATCATGACGTGTGTGGGCGTTTAGTATGACGATGCTTGAATGCAACCGATATTTGTGAACATGAAGCACACTACAAAGGAAATGTATTCACAAACTTGGCCTTGATACTATTTCCCTTTATACATAAGCTTTGGAGGTATATTTTTACCCTAAATAAGTATCAACACACATGACGAAATGTCATGACATTAGGTTGTTTGGGCTACATATTCAAGCAGAAAGAGAACTTGAATGCCTTTGTTATGATGCACAGAGTAATATGTGATCACCCAATGTACTGTAAATGGGTTCAAATTGTGTCAGTTCCACTCCCTTGTACTCATACTCTTTGGTTCTTTTGGTAAAGTCACGTGGTTGGGAGTTGAAGATGAAGTCTATTTTTTTCAGAAACAATTACTTTTCTGTTGTGTTGGTATGATAGATTGTTGTGATATTTAAACAAAATAATCTGCATTTGTTATTGGGGTTTGCTGTTCAAGAGGGCATATAGTACCATTGCTTTATTTCTAAATTCTCATTAAATAAAATAAATGATGCGTGAAAATATTTTTTGTACCTTCCTAGTATTCACAAAAAGAAGACAAGTATGAGGAAGAGATAAAAATTCTCACCGACAAGCTGAAGGAGGTATGTTCTGACGAAAATTACCTTTCATTCTGTGCAGGGACGATACACTTAATGTTGCAGACATTTAGACCTTCAACATTAAAGAAAAGCAAGGTTCTCTTTTGTTACCAGAGCTGGTATTTTACAATTACACAATTGGATTTTTGAGAAAGCCATAGATACCCCGGAGTAAATTTCAGTCTCAGGTAACATCACATATATGGTTGCAGTACCTTGCTGCTGTAAAAAAAAAAAAACAAATGCACTCGTAGGGATCAATGATGCAACGTTATTCAATTATGACCAGCTAGTTGGGTGGCATTGTGATTAGATCCTAACAATACATCAGAAGGTGTAGTGTACAAAATTACATATTGATATACAGTACGGTGTATTGTGCATCCCTAAGTATTCGCTGTGGTTAGAGTTCCCATCTCGCAAACAGAAGGTTACGAGTTCAAATTCTGGTCAGGGTTCAGGTCAGCTTATCATCCTTGAGAGTAAGATGAAATGAATACCACATTGTTAGAAGTTTATATTGGTTGTGCCGTGGGAATACTGACCTCCGCCATAGTAATGTGTTTTGTCCACCAGTGTCTCATGGCCCCCAGAAGAGATACACACCACCATTGCTTGTTTGAGGCAGCAATGGGGTGGTGGTGTGTCGGCTAAACCAAAACATGTCTGAAAGCAATAGAGAGATACAAATATTTGTCAAAGATGTTTGATAATAACTATGCCTCTTTAGAGATATCATTACGATTCCATTTTTTATCGGTACTTCATGTCAACCAACGAGTGTTCTGTGCCATGGTCAATAATCCATACTTTTACACACTTGCAATCTTGATCTTTGTACTTTAGCCAATTGTTTTTATTTTCTGCCTAAAAGGCTGAGACACGTGCTGAGTTTGCGGAGAGATCAGTGGCCAAGCTGGAAAAGACCATCGATGATTTGGAAGGTGGGTTTATGTTAAAAGCCAGTATGGTCACTTGTAAGGGTTTTCGAGAAATAAGTATATTCCACTCTGTATACTACCATTTCAGAATTTGAATTGCTTGTTGTGTTTACTGTATATGCACTTTGAATGATGTTTCACTCTTGTAATATGTACATGCAATTTCTGATTGGGTAAGTCTTTAATCAACATATTATTTCATGTATTTTTTATATTCAAGTAAGTATGTAACATTCAACCTGCTAATGCTGCGATTAAAGTCATAAACAAATTGTCGGAAGGATCAAGAAGTTACAATGCCCGCCGCAGGTCGACTCAGCATCCCATCCTAACAGGGTCGATAAAAAAATCACTTTTTCAACGGGGGTCATGTTCGGAGAGACTGACCTCTATCTAGCATGGCAATTTCAATTTCCACCACAGTTTCAGGGCCAACAATAGAGATGAGCACCGTCCTCTTGCTTGCTTGAACAGAGAGAAACAATGTATGATATTTAATATAAATACTGAATGAACACGTTTGTTTAAGTATTGAAAAAATGCAGCTGCCAAAAATCAGGCAGACCTGTCTAGAAACACGTAGGTGACTGCATATCATGACTATTAATGGAATGGGTGGGGTTCGTGCATATTGAGGGGACTTGAGAGAAAAGAGAGCATTTTTGTCAAGTACTGTATTTTTGTTTAGTATTGGGAAAGGAGACAATGGTATGGTAATCTGTAAATGAAGATACTTGATAGTGAAGAGAAAGTCAGCCTATAGCCAGAGAAGAGGAAGTGGGGTTGTAAGCCTGGACTTGGTCAGGGCACACATCTCTGCAGTGTGAATGACGAAGAGTACTTGGTGTCCACAGCTTCTGGATTTAATTGTAATCTGTGACGTTCTGAATTTTCATTCCACTGCATGGTCTTAGTTTGTATTGCACAAATGCATTCATTCTACATATGTAAATATAAATACATTTTTATTCATTCAAACTCAACTCCATATTTTCCTCTGCTTAAATGTGTGCATTGCATCTGTGTTTTAAATTATTTTATTTTGCAATTTTTTTGCAACGTCTATCAGTAATTTCTGTTTATTTTATATACTTTATATTTGACTTGCATTCTGACCATACCACCTGGATGATTGCTTTCCTGCCTGGATATCTGCTTCCACTGTTCTCTCTTTGGCTACTCACACACAATTCTGTGCAATGAAACCTACACACTTTCACACCTGGAATCAAACATGCACACCTATGGCTTACACTTACACACACCACATTCCACACACACACGAGTCAATGAACATCTCTATATTATAAAAACTGCAAACTCATACCGCCACTCACACACAAATAACTATTTCACAAGTACACTTACACTCGCACATACTCGCCAACACCCAAATGCACATATATGCATGTACACACAAACATTTTAACACACACTTGACTATACACACACGCACACACAACAAACATACCTGATCACGTACACATCGTTTCAACAATCATATATATGCCCAATTACCTACACACGCTTTCCTCTCCTCTTACATATACAATGCGCCACACATTTGCACACCCCTTGTGCATACACCGTACACCCATACTCTCGCATGCACACACATGCAACAAACAGATGAGCTGTACTCTCAGAAGCTCAAGTACAAGGCTATCAGCGAGGAGCTGGACCATGCTCTCAACGACATGACCGCCATGTAAAGGCCTCCCTCCTACTCTGTGTGCCTTGCCCCTTTGCATTGCTGCTTGCTGGTGCTCACTGGCCTCTTGACTTCCCTTAATGCTGCATAACTCAAACAGACCCCCACATTCCCTTGACTGCAGTGGTTTTTTTACTTTCTTTGTGTTTTTTACTCTGTTTTACTAACTAAAGTTTGCAGTTGCTTGGTTTGGATCGTTTAACGTTGATTAGGTTTTTGCTTATTTTTTTTTAAGGTTACACTTTAGCCTTGTGAGCCTTTACATGAATTTAAGAACGTTAATATTCACTCACGTTAAGCGTGACAGGACGCTTAAGGTTCCGTTGTAGTGCTATGTAAATATTTTTGCTCGTGTTCCCTGTACCTGAGATATCCACTTTACATGGAAATTTATGGGCATTGCCACTTTTCCATTACGGTGCATCTTTTCTGTTTTGAAATGGGTCATATATTTATAATTGCACACTACATTGTAATGCAGTTTATATTTAGTAACACTACAGAGATAATACTGGACTAACAAATCTTACAAATGTTTTATTTGTAAGGTGTGTGTATGTTTGTATATACACTACCTATATGCTGTATATACAAGTATTTGCGGCTCCGGTGTGGTCTTTTACGTATATTTTTTATTATTAAATAATTTTATATTGAGAAAATAATTAAAAACATTTCATACTGTTAATGAAAATAATGTATGTAGTTCAGTCAAGCACTACTTCCGTTATTTATTGAATGGTACATATCTTTTCTCTTCACTTTCACTATATGTAGTGTGTGATAGATCTTCCTCTGTATCTTTTTCTTTTGTCTGTTCTTTGTCCGATCCAACAGATGAGTTGTATTCACAAAAGCTCAAGCACAAAGACATCAGCGATCAGCTGGGGAACACCCTCACTGAGTTATCATCCATGGCTGTGGCCAGCTCGCATTATTAGTGGTTCATATAGAAATCTGCGGAAGCACCATTTTATCTTTAAGAGAGACCCATGTCTTAGGAATTATTAGCACACACCTTTACCTCAATGTACGACCACGAAAATGTACTTAATTGGTATAGTAACTTAGTGCTTCTCTGAATTTCTTATGACTTCTCATTACCTTTTCTCGCTTCATCTTTACACTGTCCTCTGCTCTCAGTGCCAGTTCATTCTTTGTGTTGCTTCCTGGGTCCATCCTTGAGCCCCTTCCAACTCTAACAAAGAGTCTGGCTGCCCCAACGTTGCTCTTATACCAGGGTAATGATGAACTATGATTGAAATTCCTGGAGAGTTTACACGGCTGAAGTGGGTTTTTAACAGACATGTGGCACGTGTAAATTCCTGGGTGTAATCATGAGTTGGTGCAGTGTAAATCTGGAACGTGAGAAAATATATCTTCATTACATGTGAACGATCTGAGTAAAAAAAAAATTCCACGAGAACGTGAATTTATAACTATAACCAATGCATTTCAGTCATCATGAATGTTTGAAAATGTTATATTTTCCAAGAACATACCTGTCCTACGCTCTTTTTTCGTGAAAGTAAATATATCTTTTCTGCTTTTGGTGGCGTTCCCAGAGGGACATACCAAGTGTCCTTTCTTAACATAAATCGTTATTTCCATTTCCTGTTTCATCAGCACACTGGCTCATGGGTATTACAATAAAATACAATCACGTGTATGTTACAGCTCGAGCTGCCTGATTCATTTCGTTTTCTGTTTCTTGATTCCCTTGGGTTTCTGCCTACAATGCAGTGCCTTTGTGTTTTCAGATTGCATTTGTTTTTTGCACAATTTAATTTGAGATGACTTTTACTTTTGTTTACTTGCATTGCCTAGAGCATTTAATTAACATTCTTAGTTATGGAATTAAAAATTCTGAGTTGTTTTAGAATAAATCATGCATAGTTTTATCAAGATACAGTTGCTCTCTTTAATAATCTCTAGTCTTAAACATGGACAGAGTAAATTAAGAAAATGGAATCATAATTGAAACAATGGATATTTACTTTCGATCATTACCTGTACTGTATATTTAATTTATGATGTGCAACTTAAATTATGAACAAAAGTAAAAGCATATGTGAAGTAACAATTTCTCGAATTAAGTACCTGTAGGTCATTTTGCAATATTGAATGCTTATTCATAATACTTCTGAGTTAAGTATTTTACTTGACGTGAATAATTTAATAGTGTATTTATCATTCTGATTCCTCTGAGTTATATCGCACATGGACCCAGAATTGAAAGGATGCAGGTTTCAATCCCAATCAGGGATCACCTTAGCCCTTCAAACAAACATACACCTGGGATTGATAACATGAGTAGCTTTTTGTGATAAATAGTGGTTGTCCTGTGGAGATACTGCTTGTCAAATGAATGTGGAATTTCCATCACTGGCTCAGGGTCACCAAAGAGTTGAGCACTGCTAAATCCTCATTTGAGCAGGCAAAACTTTGACTTTTATATGTTGGTTAGGCTCTACAAATACTACAGCCTTTTGTCAATACACTGCTGGATGAAAATCTCTCCATTGTGAATGGGACTTTTGACCATACATCACCACACTGTTCAGGTTGGGTTGATGAAGGGGAGATCACAGCCGTTGCAGATCTCCCTCTCCGATGATGTTATATGTGGTTGGCAATTGAATTCAGATCGCAGGGTTCATAGCGCAGTGCAGTTTAAGCACTGCACTACCAGCTTTGAATTATCCACACGTCTTGGCAAACTAAGCAAAGAAGTATTGAGCATTTGAATGATTTATCAGCTTCGTATTCAGATATTAGGATCATATGATAAAGCTACAATATTAAAAACAAAACATTTCCATAATGGCATAGATCAATAGCACCGCTCACAGCTTCAGAATGCATGGCCCACTTCATGTGCACTTGGCTTTCAAGTGTTTTTTTAATCCGTTTACAAACATTGATTAAAGTAATCGGCTTAAAACCACTTCCGAAGCCACTTGTTGATGGAAAGTTTTCTTAACGCACACCTATAAATTAATCAGTTTACAAAAAATAGTCTTTATACACAGGTGCGTGAGCAGGACAGCTTGAGCCACTTAGATGTTCGGAATGGAATCTGAGAAAAGCATTGCAGAGGTAATCAGCAAGAGGAGGTTGCAATGATGGGCGTTGCAAGAATGAGGGTGGAAGGTTGTTACAAAGACAGCTTTTGGAGCGGACGTGCATCAGATTATTGATCGAGGGGAAAACCTAAAGCCAGTTGGGATACTATCGGAGCAGACTTTGAGTTTGGTGCTGGCTGCCACTGTCACAGGATCTAGCAGAAAGA